GGTGCAGTGACGCATCCTAAAACCCGGAAGTAAGCTGCGCTCGGGTTCCCTCGACAAAAAAGCAATGGGATTTCTCCATAGGATTTTGGAAAATAGCTCGAAATAAGGTCTGTGGAACGAACCTGTTAGATAAATGCACGTTTTGTTCAGCCGGATAATCTCCACATGTCTACCCTACTTTTATTATTTTCGGGTCAGAGGGCCTAGGTATAAAAGTCACGGCTCGCCACTGCTGTAGCCACATTTCATTTCATTTTTACTATTAGACGATTTAAACCCTTAGGATTCTTTTTTTCATTTGTTCTACAAAACAGGAAACACGAGATGCATTCACTGACCTGACAAACTGAACATGAATTGAATGTTGATCCTCGCTGGTGAAAAATCAATGTCAATAGAATGACACACAGCTCCAGGATATTGAGCATGGGGACACTTTTAATGAGATTAATCTCAATTGTCTGCATGAGTTTTATATACAGTCTGTGGTATAAACATACATAAATTGAAGATAATGTGCATATCCATTCTGAAACTATAATTATCCTGTTTGGTTGCTTAAATAAAAAAAACATGAAGTGTTCAGTGTATAATCAATGTTCATGATTGCAGCAAAATAACACATTTAAAAATGCATATTTAAACTTTGCAGCAATAGAGTGGTGCAGTGACGAGTCCTAAAACTCGGAAGTGAGTTAACATTTTACCACTACCGGTTCCCTCGTCTCAGAGTCGATGGGATTTCTCCATAGGATTTTGGAAAATAGCTCGAAATAAGGTCTGTGTTTGACACAAATGTAAGAGACGGATCACGTTTTGTTCTACGACATTAAATACATCAGCAGTGACCCCACTGGTGATTTTTGAAGGGTTTACGTGTCTGAAAAACGATGGTTGTTACCAAGTGGCTGAATAGTACTACAGAAGTTATGGAGGACGTTGTACGTCATTACGCCAAACATGTAAACACTCCCTCTAAGTTTGTTTGCCCCTGTTCTGATTGAAAGCAAGTACCTGCGCTCTTGCAAACTGTTAAAACAAACGCTTCAACTTGTACAACTTTGAATCTGTATTTTTTAATATGGATCTTAATTTGGCGTGACGTCGAAGTTGTGCGACCCTGCTGTACTCGGCTGTAGTTCCTTTATAGCATAACGTTAGCATTTTGCTTCTGGCGATTAGATTTATGATTACAAAATTGCAAAAGTAGGGTAGACATGTCGATATTATCCGGCTGAACAAAACATGCATTTATCAAACAGGTTCGTTTTCCACAGACCTTATTTCGAGCTATTTTCCAAAATCCTATAGAGAAATCCCATTGCTTTTTTGTCGAAGGGAACCCATGTGCAGCTTACTTCCGGGTAAATACGTCATCCCTGCTCCACTCTATTAAGATTAAAACTGTAGGATGTAATAGTTTAGTCATTGTTACGACTGTCGCCTTCCTGGTCGTCTTAACTGTGTTAGCCTGTGTTATATGCAAAAGAGCTGTGCGGTTGCCCTGACGTCATTGGCTGCCATCTCCTGGTCCGCCCCCTGAAGATTGTGATTGGAGCACGCCGGGTCCGACGCACTCCAATCGCAGCGCACAGCCGACGCACACCTGCTGGAGATGAATACAAAGCCTGGGGACAATTATCACTCTGGAGGCTCTGATATGTGGACAGACGCCTCTAGCTACTTGCTCCTTAGTGAATTCTGTTACTGTGGTTAAACTCGTGTGATTAGTAGTGTCTAGAGTAGCTTAGTTAGAGTGTAGAGTAGCTTAGTTAGTGTTTAGAGTTAGGATTTTGGGACTGTTGCCTTTAGTTTAGCTGTGTTTTTGTACAGATTCTTTTTGTTAGTTGTACCACTTTTAAAGTAAGGTGACCAGATTTTCAAAATGAAAACCGGGGACATTTTGAGTTTTGTGGTCAATATATCATTAACATATCCAATTTTTTTCACTGTTAAAGAAAACAGGGGGACAATTCTGGTTTAATGTAATTTGAACATTTTAACTGTTGGATACAAACAGAGGGATGATAGCTCATATATGAGACTTCAAAGGTATTTTATTTCGAAACTGTACATCAGATTGTCCAGATTCTTTCTGAGTGATTAGATGGGGTGTCCTGCTATTACCCTGAAGTGAAATAAGTCTTTGATACTGGATAGTTTTTGTTTTATTCTTATCTAAAAATAGAGGGATGATAGCTCATATATGAGACTACAAAGGGCTTTTATTTTGAAACTCTACATCAGATTGTCGTGATTCTCTCTGAGTGGTTAGATGGGGTGTCCTGCTATCACCCTGGAGTGAAATAAGTATTTGATAATTTGACAGTTTTTTATTTATTCTTGTATAAAAACAGAAGGACGATAGCCCATATATGAGATTTCAAAAGTATTTTATTTGTAAACTCTATATCAGATTGTCCTGATTTCTTTCACCCTGAAGTGAAATAAGTATTTTATTGACTTCGAATGACTCTTTGATTATGGACGGTTTCCATTAAATAATAATCAAAATATAGATGGACAATAGATCTAATTTGAGATTTTAAACAGCATACATTTTAAATTGTGCTTCAGAAAGTAATGTTATTTTAGGAGTGTTGTGAGATGGTGTCAACATCAATTGAAATGAGTCACCCAGTGGAAATGTCAGATATGTCTTCATAACTGTACATTTTACATTCACTCAGTTATAATGTGGTAGTTATACGTAGTTTGTTTTAAATAATTATTGATCACATTATATAGTACATATTTCTTAATTTAAGCTCCAGTATAAATGAATATGTTTGGTGTGTTTTTTAGGTATATTTGCTATTGACCAAGTAAATGCTTTTATTTTGAAGGCAGTTTTTACAGGCCTCTACCGTAATGCATATATTCGCGCACCGCAATACAACGTGCGGGCAGGCTTGACTGAGTTTTCCGAAGTGGGGGCTGGCTTGACCACAGTCTGTTTACCCAGTGTTTCCTGACATGAAACGTTTTATTTCACCTTGCTATGTGTTTTTAACGTATATTAAAAAACGGGGACATTTCCGGGGACAGTTTCAACCGGGGACAGGCCAATACAAACGGACACTGTCCCCGGAAAACGGGGACGTCTGGTCACCCTATTTTAAAGTGAGGTTTTGTTTTGTTTTGTTTTGTTTCTTATTTAGTGTAATAGTGTGTATTCCCCTGTATGTAATTAGACTCCTTTTTTAGAGTCCTCCTTTTGTTGGTACTTTATCTAATTATGCGCCCTTTTTGGCCCTTGTTTGTGCCAGGCTGCCTGTCCTATTATTTTGTTACCCTGCTATCTAAAATAAACCCATTATACCAATTCCAACTGGTGTGTGTTGTTTTCCTCTACCCTTAGAGGGGGACGTAACAATAAATAAAACTGCAGGTTAAAACTAAAATGTCCAAGATGCATGTTTTTAAAGGGGAAGTACATCATTTCTACACATCAAAGTCTGAACCGGAAGCTCCATGAGGTAAGATGATTTACCTCTTGACTTTAAAATTACTCAAAAACCACGCCTGTTGGCTCCTAAATGGTGGAATGAGCTCCGGACTGCAGAAACTCTGCATATCTTCTGACGCAAACTGAAAACGCATTTGTTTGGACTGTACCTTGGCAATTAAGTTATTGCTGAAAAAAAGAAAAGCACTTGTTGAGTAATTTAGGCCTTGTAACTGATGCACCAGCACTTACTATGGTATAATCATAGGCGGCGCGTGAGGTTCAGGTTTGGGAAGGCTAAATAACTTTTTTTTACCTGACGCTGCCCGCTCCCGGCGTCTATAGAAAAGAGATCAACTCAGTGAAAGCACCGCCTGCTGACCAATTAGAGCTCAGTGTGCGGAGTTTAAATCTATCAAGTCATATTACAGGATAAAGGAAATACAGTTTAAACTGCCGTTGCAGAGAAGAAGCCGACGTGTCGCACTTATCATTCATATCACACTGATATCACATCATCAATCAGATCATCGATCATATAATATCACAATATTTCCTTATCTGAGTCAGCTTCTCGAGCCGTATCTGGCCGTGCAACACTCACATTGTCACATACTGTATGCAGAAGTATTATTTTAAGCAATACTTAAAATAATATTTAATAATATTTGAGTTGAGTGTTGACGAAACACTCAACTCAAATGTTAAAGTCAGATCCACTCGTGTCTTAGATGGGGCAGTATCATAAAACTGTTGTACGCTTTCAAACACTCGGTAGTTTATTTATTTTTTAACCAGTTGTTATATATTCACCTCGCAGGTAGCTATGTGGTTTCCTGGATTATATGTTTAAGTCATAGATGTTTGAAGTTCATATTTGTATAATATTAGTTTACTTTTCATTAATGAAGTATGACGCTGCACTGTCAGTACACTTGTCCCTGTTTGTGATTGGTCAAATGTAGCTAACCCCGCCCCTTTCACGTGAACGCGCTCTCAGCTGGAGAGAGAAACCCTGGCTTGATTTACCGAGTTGATAACCAGCGTCGTAGGACCGCTCGTTTGTTAGGGTTAGTTAAGATAACGCAAACATATCCAGGGTCTGTTGAACTGGCTTCGTAGTACAGTTTACTGGTGGCTGCATAGCAGCGCTAATGTCAAAGACACAAACATTATATTATATTTTTATTTTACCAGGATGCAGTGACACAAATATTTGGGAAGGCTTAGCCTTCCCTAGCCTACAGTACCCGCCACCCCTGGGTATCATCTTTCTTGAAGTGAATATATTTGCACTCTTTGTTGTTGTTCGGAGTTTGACCCATTGGATTTGGATAAAAGCGTCAGCTAAATGTTATGTAATGTAATGTAAAATAATCTGTAAGAATTAAGTGAGCTAATCAGAACTCCATAGCCTACTCCATTACTAGCATTACACACCCAATTATTGACGAAGCTGTCTGTGTTTAAGATGCATTCTGGGTAATGTAGGCCCTAGGATCAAGAGAAGAAGAAGAACGCCTGGAAGAAAAAACGATGTCTGGGCTTCTGCTGCATCAATATTGATTGTTTATTCATCCTGATTGTAGGTCATAATATAGGATTATATTTGATCATAGGAGTGCAATCTGTGAAGTACTTTTGCAAGCCATTAGGACAATAGTTGCAAAAAATGAACATTTAATGAGACTTTTCAATTATTATTTATTATAAAAAGGGTTAAGACTTGAGTACCAATATAAAAAACATACATGAAACATCATGAATACATTTATACAAGTTTGTATATAAAAAGAAATGTGTTTTTGTTACATATTTGTACAGTTTAAGGATGACCTCTATATGCACAGTCATCAGCTACAGGTCTGTTTATCAATGACCATCAAACCATGGGTTCCTCCATCTCCCTCTTCTCTCTGTTCTCCTTGTTCTCCTCCACAGGCCTGTTTGGTGGCGGCTGTGCCTTGAAGATGGCTTTTTTACAAAGCGTGAGAATGGGCTTGTCTGGCCGAGCCTGACGCAGATCACTGGATGGAGTAGTCATGGTATTGGGATTCTGATTTACAGCAAGGAGAATGCAATTAATATCAAGCTCTCACCACAGAATCAAAGTTAAGATCTGAGATTAAAAGATAATACATTATTACTGAAATCGGCCAACAACTACTGTCACTCACCTTCCACTGTGAGATCAAAATGAATGCTGGGATGCTTATCAGTGGAGTTACGACAAGTATCGTGCCCAATATGCCCCAATGTGAACCGATTGTATAACCATACACGTAGACTTCTTTTTTTATACTCAAGTCATACATCATTGTGGCCTAGTGGAGAAGAAGAGATCAAGTTAATGCTGAATTTTAAATCAATTGTTGCAGTGTGTTTTGCAGTGCAAGAAAAGAAAGAATTCTGACCAATAGAAAGAAGTGGAAAGAAAGCTATTTGTAATTTCAGGAAGCACATTCTTTGCATCAAATGTAATGTGTTTTTGTGATTTTAGCCTAAACATACAAGAAAACTGATTTAATTATCAATAGGAATAACTACGAGGGCTGTACAATGATATTTTACTGATCATTCTGTGAGGTGTGTTAATTAAATGACATATGTGAAACACTCAGCAAAGATAGAAAGCAAGGAGAGAGAGGAAGAGGAAAGGCAAAGATCTGTTTTCAGAAGTAATATCAGGTACAAAATAATGAGTACATATGAAAACATGACAGGAAATACACATTAAAGTAGATGAATGAAGTATAGGAGACAAGTGTGAGTATCTCACCCAACAGATGAGCGGCGTGATGAACATCCAGCAGTACTTCAACACGGGGAATGGTTTGTATCCGATCATGTCCTCAATGTTGTCATAGAAACGGTCCGCACCTGGACAGAAAGTGTAAGCCAACCAAAAGGATCAAACTGGTTTCATATTTGAAACAAAAACACATCGGGTCAATAAATAATAAACCCAGAGAAATGGCTTAATCTTTGTGAAGTCCTGAGGCATCTTTCCCTAAACCTGTCCATACTTGATTGACTAGTATTGTACGATTTTTTTTTTTAAAGAAATATTTCCATTTAATGCAACGTAACCACTCTACTCCACCACAATAACTTTATATTGAAATTCTTGTGCTTGATAGTTACTTTTCAGATGGAGATCTTGCATAAAAAACTTTATGTGAGTTCATTAAATGTATTGCATTCTGACTAAACTACCCAATATTATAGAAAGTAGTTGAAATGAACTCCACCTTGAGAAATTACAACATGAAAGGACCACCTTGATAGTAATACATCAACAATTATTATAACGCAGATGCTACACTGAACAAAAATATAAATGCAACACTTTTGTTTTTGCTCCCATTTTTCATGAGATGAACTCAAAGATCTAAAACATTTTCTATATACACAAAATAACCATTTCTCTCAAATATTGTTCACAAATCTGAAAAAATCTGTGATAGTGAGCACTTCTCCTTTGCCGAGATAATCCATCCCACCTCACAGGTGTGGCATATCAAGATGCTGATTAGACAGCATGATTATTGCACAGGTGTGCCTTAGGCTGGCCACAATAAAAGGCCACTCTGAAACGTGCAGTTTTATCACACAGCACAATGCCACAGATGTCGCAAGTTTTGAGGGAGCATGCAATTGGCATGCTGACAGCAGGAATGTCCACCAGAGCTGTTGCCCGTGAATTGAATGTTCATTTCTCTACCATAAGCCGTCTCCAAAGGTGTTTCAGAGAATTTGGCAGTACATCCAACCGGCCTCACAACCGCAGACCAGGTATCCATAGTAGACATTGCTATTTACAGCCGGGCATATATTTGATTATGTTTTAAATCCATATGTGTTTTTGGAATTGTATTTGTCTTTGATTACTAGTAGTACATACAAGCAGAAGAGAAAACGACAGAAACAGGAGCGGTGCACCTAACAACATCCAGAGATTGATTTGTGGGAATGCAGAACAGCAGAATCATTTGTCAAAATGATGGAGGAAAGCAGACACAGCTCAAAAAATGACACAATAATCCACCCCTGAAACTACCTTCACGTACACAGTGAAGGGGGGAGTAGCCTCATTTACATTTTCATAACACAGACTCACTCAGAAGAGTAAAATTAATGGGTAAACAACGAAACGTAGGGATGAGGAAGTAGCTGCAGAAAGGATATATCACTCTGCATTGGTTTGTAGCAGAAATAAATAAATAGTTTTATTTAGAGTATGCAATACAGATGCTCTGAGAGATGAGATGTACAGCATTATGAGAACAGAGGAACTCCACCCACGTGTTGTAATTTATCCAGTAATGAAGGTGTGGGAGGCAGAGAGCTCAGAGGATTTATCCAAAATGATGAGTAATTTCAGCAGGATGGATAACCATTGAAAACTTCATTAAATATTCTAAATGTCTATACTGTATTTAGATAATAGGATTAGCAGAAAGCCACAGGATGTTGTTTCAGTCCAGTAGATGGCATACTTCTGGTTTAAGAAAAACCCACAAACAAACACTACGTTTTTCTGAGTTTGTTCATTTGACAGTGTCTCCATAAATGAGTTGCTAAATAGGCCAAGAAAAGACAAAGAAACCATTCAAGTTGTTTCTTTATCAATTGGGTTTTACTGAAAAAACTGAAAAACAAGAACACAGCTCTCCTTCCTGTGAGGTTCTAAGGACCATTGTAACTAAATCCGGCCGACCCCTCCCACCCTGTACACAAACTGTTCACCCCCCCCCCCCCCTCTGGCAGAGGCTCCATCAGGACCAAAACCTCTCGCCACCTGAACAGTTTCTTCCCCTCCGCTACCGGCCTCTTAAACAAGGCCCGGCCCCCCCACTGACACTTTACCTCAGCCACAACGCAGACTTTATACGCATTACATTAATGCACACAATGTTTAAATATTGCTTACTGCACATATTTTATATTCTATAATTTATTGCATTCTATTTTTATGTAAATTACTGCTTATTTTATTGATATCTTACTGTATTTTTATTATGAGGAGGAGGAGGAGGAGGAGGAGGAGGAGGAGGAGGAGGAGGAGGAGGAGGAGGAGGAGGAGGAGGAGGAGGAGGAGGAGGAGGAGGAGGAGGAGGAGGAGGAAGGAGAAGGAGGAGGAGGAAGGAGGAAGGAGGAAGGAGGAAGGAGGAAGGAGATCTCACTCAACTGCAGACAGAGAACATGAATGGAAGCTATTGAACCCAGTTGGATTCTTCTGGACTCTTTCTGAACCACCAGGCGGTTTTTTGAAGATCACTGAACCCCGGGGCTGGTGGGGTAAACACATTCACCTTCAACACCACAAATGAAGTTAACTTGTTAACATAGGTTCAGGAGCATGGCCACGCCTAAAACCCTGTCTCTAACCACGGCCACCCCTATTTATATCCGGCCAAACTTCCGGCCACTGCTTGTCTCCATTCTTTAAAAGACAGACAGGCAGACCTCGGTTCACGCCGCGCGTCGTCACGGTTCAAACAAGCTTAAACGCTACTACTAGAACGATTTAACTCACCATGGATCCCGAACTGCTGATCAACCCGCCGGAGTCAGATGAAGATCTCTTCGACATCGGCTATCCGCCATCCACGGCTCAGCAGTCGGATCAAAGCCAAGCATCCGAACGGAGCCGCTCGGCAATCAGTGTCCCACACACCAGCCGCCACTTCCAATCAAGCTCCCCCAACGAAATACCTCCAACTCCAGATAGGTCCCAGGCTTCGTCTATTCCGCCAGCGAGGGCAAACAATCGGGGCCACAACAGGCACAGCCAGCTCCAATCTCCCCGTCACCAGCAGCCTGCCCCATTCGCAGCCCCCGGCCACTCGCCGCGGCGCACTCGACACGCCTCTCGCCCCGCGTTCCGAAACGGAGCCCGAACTCAGGAAGTGGACAGTCATTCAACTCCAACGTTTTCCTGAAAGAACATGGCATCCACTTTCTCCTTGTGCAACCAGCTACACTCTAGCCACAGCAACACCACCTCAACACAACCAGCCTCCTCAGTTTATCGCCCTTCTCCCGTGTCCCCCGTCTTGCGCCAGCAGATTCTCCTCGATAACTACGTACACTTAGTCTGAGGTCTAAGGACTTAACCCCTGCAGAGTTCGCCCTAGCTTTTTCCCTTTACCGCAACGTCATCTGCTCAGTCTATCCCACTGGTAGAACCGAGTTAGACAAGTACCTCTTCATAGAGCTCGACATGGCCTTACGTTTCGGAGGTTCAGGTTTCTACACCTACCACGTCCACTTCGCTAGCCAAGCCGCCAGCCACATTAAACAGTTTAACCAGGGAACATACTGGGGCACTCTGGACTCTGAGCTTTACTTCCGCATCTTCGCAGCACGTGCATCCCTTTATTGCCAATTATGCGGAGCCCCCTCCCACCCGGCCTCAGCATGCTCAGTCAGCACCCCACCTCCTGAACCACCCCGCTCACTCCCTTTTCCATCAAGAGGCAACGCCTCAGCCTTCAACCGCCTATCACCCGCCGCACCCCTACCTCCCATCATCCCTAGGCCCGCAAACAAACGTTCATCAGCCAACGCCCCCGTTTCAAAGGGCGTCGACGGACGCGGAAGGCCAATCCTCTACCAGGGAGGCAGGATGGTGTGTAACAACTTCAATGACCTAGGCTGCTCTCTCTCTAGCTGCCGCCTAATGCACATCTGCTCTTTCTGCGGCGGCCCTCACGCCAGGAGCACCTGCCCCCACAATCTAACCACACCAGCAGATTGACTAGCACGGCACCTCAGCACACCCGTCAAGGTAAACGAACTAGCTACCGCCTTACAAAATCATCCAGATAGACAGTTTGTTTACTTTCTCACCAATGGCTTCACCCACGGTTTATAACCAGGCATAGAGATACTGCCTGACACATCTCACATCTGCCACAACCTTCAGTCCGCTTTAACAGAACCTCACACCGTCGACACCTTACTGGCCAAAGAAGTCAAAGAAGGATTCATGATAGGCCCATTCGATAATCCCCCCTTTCCAGTGTTCCGCATCAGTCCAATAGGCATGGCTACTCGGAAATACTCCGGAAAAAAGAGGCTCATAATAGACCTGTCTTCTCCACACGGCTCAGCCATCCCGAGAATTAACAGCGTCATTCCAAGCCCTGACTTTTCGATGCAATACGCACACATCGACCACGCCATCACCCTCATACGCTCAGCAGGCCGCGGAGCATGGCTTTCTAAAGCAGACATCACCAGTGCATTCAAAATATTGCCTATCCATCCAGACTTCTGGCGTTTCTTCGGAGTGTAAGGCAAGGCAGGCAAGGCAAGTTTATTTATATAGCACTTTTCAACACAAGGCAATTCAAAGTGCTTTACAAAAAATGAAAGACATTAAGAAAATGGCATTTAAAATCAGTCATTAAAAAGAAAAGCTAATAAAATAAACATTAAAAGAAAAAATACATGGATAAAAGTTACAGTGCAGTCTAAGATATGAATAGTTCAATTAAAAGCAGCGACAAAAAGAAACTGTAAGGGAGCTTATTACTTCTCAGTACGCCTCACATTCGGCTGCAGAAGCAGTCCCAAAATCTTTGATTCCCTTTCAGAAGCTCTGTGCTGGATCTTGACAAACAATCACGGACTCCCCTACGTGCTCCGTCTTCTCGACGACTTTCTCATCATCACTCCACCATCCTCACCCCCCCGCCATGGGCTGAACACACTCATACAAACATTTTCCGACCTTGGCATCCCTCTGTCTGAAGAGAAAACCTCAGGGCCTAGAACCTCCATTGAGTTTCTAGGCATCACCCTGCACTCAATGTCTTTCCAGGCTTCTCTATCCTCAGAGAAAGTACAGCGCATCACTCTTCTCTTGTCAAACTACTTACAGGCAGACAGATGCACGAAACGGCAACTGTTAGCCCTCCTCGGCCACCTAAATTACGCCATCCGCATAATACCACAAGCAAAACCTTCTTGTCCAACCTGCTGAACAGAGCGGCGTCAGTTCCCTCCATCCACGATCGATTAGTTCTCGACGATGCATGCAAAATGGAAATGCATCTTTGGCAGGATTTCTTGTCCTCGTGGAACGGCATCTCCTTCTTTTATGACGGAAATATAGTACCTTATATTTCATCTTTTTTCCCTTTAGACCCTTGCGGTTTATTCTTAAAAACCCTTACCCTTACCCACCCCCCATTTTCCCTCTGCTGGTCTATGGCCTTGTAGAGGGTAACGGGGGAGTCGCTTAGGTAAGCGGGGGAGTGCATCTGACTAAGAGATAGGTCGTTGTGCTCCCTATCTCTGTTTCTTATCTATATCTAATAGAACTGCTCGGGTCTTGATAGATTGAGTGGGGAAGTTCATGAGATCTTTCTAGAGGGTTATCAAGAATAACTTTTATCCAATGACCTTTTCCCTCTCTGTCTGTGTCTGTGTATTCTCTTGTTCCGATTAACCCAGCCAAATCTTTTTTCTTCTTTTGTATCTATATCTACGCCGGGATCCGGAGTCGAGGCTGATCCTCTTGCTGTAGTCCTGTGTCTTGGATCCTCTATCCCGAGTTCTGGATTAAGTCGTGGACTTCGGGTCGTGGCTGAACCTGTCTCTGCGGTCCTGCCTTGGGTCTCGCCATGCTGCTTCCCTGATGGCTTCCACAGGATTGTAGCTGACATCCTCGTGGATTCATCTTCTTATTACAAACACATGCATTTCCTAACATTCGGTCTATATGCTGTAAAATGTATTATCTCTTCGATTTACACACGGCATCTATTGCACGTCTGTCCGTCCTGGGAGAGGGATCCCTCCTCTGTTGCTCTCCCTGAGGTTTCTCCCATTTTTCCCCTTTAAACTGTGGGTTTTCTCTGGAAGTTTTTCCTTGTACGATGTGAGGGTCTAAGGATAGAGGGTGTCGTTTTTCTCATACTGATATTCTGAACAATCTGTGCTGTTGTATTTGCTGTAAAGTGTCTCTACTGTAGGCTATTTTTATTATATGTACAGCACTTTGGCTCGACCAAAAATCGTTTATAAATGTGCTATATAAATAAAACTTGATTTGATTTGATTTTCTCACCGAAACAGGGAAAATGGCCACACGTTTCTGGTTCCAGAAACACTTTCACAACATGTTGCATATTTCGGGGATATTCTCAGAACACTATTCGAGCCATTCCTTCCGCATTGGCGCAGCGTCCACAGCAGCGAGATATTCTCTGATTAAACCATCCAGGTCCTGGGCCGCTGGTCATCCCAAGATTACCACACCTACATCCGTAATAATCTTAACGATCTCAGACAGGCACACGCTCAACTCAGTTCCATTTAATCTGACTCTTTTGGGGACCCGTAATCAGCCCAAGCGGATCATGCCGGAGACGGAACCCCCACTCTGAGTCTCCCACTGCACGGACCACAGCAAGTCCTCCCAGACCAGAACATCCCTTCACCCCCCTCATATCATTCATTTGTTACTTCTGCAATAAACCTACAAACATCACACTGTTTTGGCATGGTTCCTGCTAGTGAAATGAAGTTAATTTGTTAACATAGGTTCAGGAGCATGGCCACGCCAAACCTACGCTACACAATGATGGGGAAAGATTTAAATATGAATCTGTGTGCTTAGCTGCTGGTGGATATTGTCACAGATTCTCAGAAACTATGCACCAATAGCCTAAGAAGAGTGTATCTGCAGCATATGTGGCGCATATGCAAAGCAATGGGGGGAATACAATTATGGGAACCTTATTCCAAATATTCAAGAACAAAAATGAACACAGGATCCATTCATCTTTTCAATCTCATCAAAATGACCTGTTTTCTTTTGTCGGTCGATCTCTTTTAAATATAATTTATATTACAAACTATACCGTGGATATCAAAAGCTGGTTTCTTACAGATAAGATTTTACAGATACAGTCAGTTAATTACACAGATGAAACAAATGCTGCTGTCAGAATCGCATGAGCTCAAGAAATGTAATGAAGGTACCTAAAAGCTAAATTCATCAGATATCTAGTTCTTCAGAAATGATTTTAAACATTGCAGCAGTAGTTCAATGCTGCATACCAGTGCATGATACAAAGCAATGTGCAGTGATGGCCAATGGCATGACTTACCATACACCCAGGAAATGACAATGCACTCAAAGCAGGCAATAAAGAGGAGACTGATTCCACTGGGGCCGTAGGTGTCAATCAGCTGGAAGACGAACATCCCTCCCTGAAACATGAGCATGAATATAATTACTGCCTGAGAGTAGTCTGCCTCCGACCACCTGTCATATTGCAGTTTACACCGAGTGTTGTAATTTTTTTAAATCAGCATATGAATTATTGGGTAATGGCTGAACATGTGTCCATCAAAGTGACGTTTGACCACCAAAATCGAATCAGTACTTACAGCCAAGAAATTATCCAATTAGCACCAAATGTAACCGCAAATGTAAAGGTTGTTGGTCATGGACATTTAAAAAGAATCATCTTATATCAGCGCTTAATGAAAAATGAAGGGATAGTGAACGTTATAACAAGTCTTTTTATGAATAATTCAGAAGCAAATGTCATGACATATCTATCCAATAGCTGTCTCTCTAGCTAATACTGGACCAATTTAAAAAATAGTTATAGCTATAGTCACATAGACACAAAGATATGGACAACTAGCATCCAGATTAAGAAAAAAAGCGTCCCTTGAACATACCAATAAAGATCACACAGTACTGCGAGTGCTAATCTATGTCTATGCTGTTATTGGATAATTAGTATCCTCTATGTCCTTATTTCACGAAGCATGTCCTCACCTCAGTAAGGCATGGCAGCCCCAGCAGGAAGCAGACGACAGCGATGACCAGGACCAGGATCTCCCTGCGGCCGCGCCTCCTCAGCTGACCTGGGAACATGTCTGTGAGGCCTGTGGCCAGGCTCTCCACACACACAAACTGTGAGGAGGGGAACACATTAGCTAATTTAATAGTGAGGAAACACTGCATACAGTGTGATAAATGATATACAATACCTGTGAGTCCAGGCCGAGGAAGAGGATCATGAGGAAGAAGAGCACAGCCCAGAAGGACGAGCCAGGCAGCAACGACAGAGCCTTTGGATAAGCGATGAAGATCAGACCAGGACCTGGAGAAAGCACATAAAGGATTCTATCAACACATCAGAGTGTTAGGGATTTAGAGTCTTCTAACATAGCCGTTCCCAACATAAATCTGTCATGAAAGGTTGTAGCCTAATAATGACAAAAAATAAACGTACTTTAATGGAAGATAAATATGTTATCCTGTCATCTTGACCCCTCACATTTTTCACATGACTCTTTGAGGTGTCCCAAAATTCAGGCTGGAGAATTCATGTTTTAACACATTTATTAATAGCTTCAGTTTAATATATGCCGTTTTATTGCATGTTGCTTTCCTAAAAAGAAGGTGGACATTCAACGGAACTGTGTCTGGACGTTATATGCCATCTTGTGGGCATTGGTGGTTGTTGTCACTGCAAACACTGAAGCCATAATGTGAGAAAGTAGATGGGCAACTACATTCACCCCTGATCATTTAAGTTTTATAATCCACAATGTCAAACATTTGTAGTACAAAACTATTGGCAACAATATATACTTATACAAAAGTAAAAGTAGTCTACTTATACAAAAGTAGAATAATATATATGATATGTTTTATAATTATTGATCGAAAGTGTTATCAAAGCTGGTAAAGGTGCAGCTAGTTTTAATGACTTTGTATACTGCAGGGTAGCTTGTGAATTTACTCCAGGTGGAACTCAAGTCTGATTTAACACTTGGTTATATTATATATTTCACATCATTAATCAACATCTGTAAAGTAACAAAGGTACTAAAGTAATGTAGTGGAGTAAAAGTACACCATTTACCTCTGAACTGTAGTGGGGTAGAAGTGCAAAGTAGAAAACTGTTGATATACTCAAGTAAAGTACAATTGAATTCTACAGTACTTCAGTTACTGTAGTTAGTTACACCACTGTTATTTGGTATGTTTTCAATGCTGGTTGGAAATAACAAATAATAATTTTGAAGTTGTCAAAAACAGTAATTGGCAGATTAATTGATTTAGAAATAAGAAATAATTGCAGCAGCAGTTTTGAGATATTTCAATACAGAGATGCTGTTGGAGAAATACTGTTTTCTCCACTCTTTGGGTTTGTTTTAATGCACTGATATCATGTGTGGCTCTGAACTATGTACGACCTTGCCTCTTTATGATAGGAGCAGGCAGGGCATTTCAGGTTGTTGACCTTTATGAGGAGACAGACACATACTTGTTGTCTCCTACATTATCTCACAACTGCTGGAAGTCCGGAAGTCGCAGATGACCCATCGCAGATGATCCGACTTTCCGACACCCGTGGCTGATATTCCGACACCCGCAGCTGCAATTTACGACTTTGTTGTTATCTATCTCCGTGTTTTGGATTATATAAGCCTGATGTTTTTTGCTGCTCCGTTGAGCAACATACCCCATGTGTGTGAGTTAACCCATATCCTTTGTATGTGATTTAACTCTGCTCCTTCTTGCAAGAATAAACTAGAATCTGATTATTGATTCTCAACCTGGTGTTGAGTGATATTTTCCTAACAGATGCAAATGAAGTCATATTAGGAGGAAATTGCTAAAGAATGAAGGAATGAACTCACCGCTACTCACCACCTCTTCTATGGACAGGTCCATCTCATAAGCCATGAAGCCCAGCACGGAGAACACAGCAAAACCAGCAAAGATACTGGTGGCACTGTTCAGCAGACACAATGCCAAGCAGTCCCTGCAACACAACAGATGTGTGAGGAGTACTGAGATCACAATGTAACTCAAGTAAAAGTACTCATTTTCCAGTATGACCCATATCAGATTACATATTAAATGTTTATATATAATATTAATAATTATATACGTATTATTAATGCATTAATGTCAATGTTGCACTTGGTAAAGGCGGGGATTATTTAAATTACTTGATATACTTCTGGGTATTTAATGGTTGATTTTTATTCTGTATTATAAAAAAAACTACATTTGTAAAAAATAAATAATGTAGTGGAGTAAAAAGTAAAAAAGTAGTAAAGTAAAAGTATAAATTAGCATAACATTGAAACAGTACAGTACTTGAGTAAATGCACTTACACCACTGCAGACCAAGAAGAAAAAACTGCACTGTCAAAGAGGAGGAGAAACCCCTTCTCGGTTAGGAGACCCCCGGTTTAGGGCAGCATTAGGACCCACAATTCCTAACCCCCTTTTGAATCTTAATTATGTCAATTTTAATAATCCAAAAAACTGAGCATAGCCAGAGTCAAACACAAATATCACAGCTGTGATATAACAATAGCAGCAAAGCACACGTCATAGTTCAGCATCAATCAAGGCCAAATCAACCACAGTTACCAAGAAACTACAGCTTATCTTATCCATGGTTTCTACTTCCCACGACATTGGGAATTTAAATGATCAACTGCTGTCAGCCTTTTCCAAGGAAGGGTGTTCTTACCTTACTCTAAGACTAAGCAGATACCTTCAGAGACCACCAGAGAGACCAGGAATTGGGTCGAGATGTACAAAGTACAAACCGGTTTTATTGGGTTTTTACAAAAATAAAGGATTACCAGATCCAAAAAATTAAATGCAAAGTTTAAGTCAGGCACAAGGTCCAAAGCTCAAACAGCCTAAAGCTCCAAAAACTGTCCTAAGAAGCCCCCAAAAAACGTCCATTTCTCTTCACACATCATATTTTATAACCTTTTCCGTCTTTGAGTAAGAGGGAGGTTGCATAGTTTCAGCTTTTACTAATGAACAATTACAAATCTAAAATCTAAATTAAACAAATGAAGATTAAACAATATATATGAAAGCAGAATACATTGACAATGTCATATGGAATTAAACTTATTTTAACTCAATATGAAAATATGGAAACTCAATTCAACAAAACATTTTAACAGTGATATAAACGTATACAAATTGTAAGTATTATCACTAAGTTCTGATGCTTCCAGACGTTAGAGCTCAAATCATAATGGAAGTACACAGTTCACTCTCTTCCTGTGCACAATGTACTTTTGAAGTTGTAACTTACCTCAATGTGTCAAAAACCACAAGGCCTTCATTCCCAATGTAAAAACAGTCAGTGTGAGGATGTGCTGTGTGTGTGTGTGTGTGTGTGTGTGTGTGTGTGTGTGTGTGTGTGTGTGTGTGTGTGTGTGTGTGTGTGTGTGTGTGTGTGTGTGTGGATGCTGACCTGTAGCAGTTGTTGTTGTATTTGTTGTAGCTCCCCAGAGAGGTGAGGACTCCCTGACACACGGCGTAGGAGAAGAACACCTGAGTCCCTGCATCCAGCCACACCTACAGAGGAAGAGATTTAAGAGACAACTCAGACGGACCTGGGATGTTGTTAAAATAACCTGACACATAGCTCACCATAAACTACTTTCCTAACAAGATAAAAATGGACCTTTATTAATCCCTGTAGGGAAATTCAGGTGTCATAGCAGCAACAGAAAGGAACACAGATATGGAATATACACAGGCATAATAAGATTAAAAGTAAAAAAATGTATTAACAGTATGGATAAAAATAGAAGGGTTCTGCGACATCCTTTTTTTGCTACTGCATTCACACGTTGCAGCATGTTTGTGTCCGTTTAGGTGTGGGCGGTTGTTGACATGAATGTCTATCAGCTGCACTCGTTCTGACAGCATATGGTTAACATTAGAGGCACAACACTGCTGTATGCCTGGCCTTGTGAAAGATAGAGCTGGCACGGCTCCAAACATTCACCAGGCCCTTACTCAGGCCCCATGGTGGTCCTGACTTATTCCAGCCTCAGGTCAGAAGTGGATGCTTCAGCCTGTGGCAAAGGATCTTCACTTGTGACTGGACAAAGAAGACACTGTTGTGGCTTTGAAAGCATGTGCTTTATTTCAAAATCCTTTTGCTCTGGATTTACGCACGCACATAATAGAAACATAAAAGGAGCCCAGATGTAGGACAGGACTCTGTTACGATTTCCTCTGTGGTGCAGGCAAAATCCCATGAAAGGAAGCTGAAGGGAGACTCATTAGAATCAGATGTTTTTTAGGAGCGTCTGGAACTGCTTTGCTCTGCTTTTTGACCCAAAAGTGAAAATGCTCACGGTTTCTACTTATGCTTTCTTCCACAATTACAAGCTGAGATACCCACACTTGTTGAGAGGTCTAGGAGAAGATGTTCTTACAACAGCAGCCACAGCCTCTTGCAGGAAGATGGTGTGCATGATGCACGGAGTTCCACATACCAGCAGAAGAAAAGGAAGTGAGGGAGGGGTTGTCTGAGGCTCTGGTGACCCTATGGTGATTAACTTTGACCCCTGAGGTCTTGCTGTGAAGTGTCAAAGAGGAATCTGTGTGCAGATGTCAGTATACTCAAGAGGAGAGCTTTTTTTTTTAACAAACTTCTCACTGAAAATAAATCATAGTTTGCTTTTCTTGTTAAGCCTCTGTCTTGAGAACGGAAACAAGATTCAAGGCAAATAGAAAGGGGGGTGTTAGAGAGCAACAACAGGACACCGTCCATCTTGTTAGAAAACAGTAATCTAAAAGATAGTGAGATATTGAGAAATAAAAAGAGAGATGATGCTCTGTTCGGTTGTAAAGCCAACCGTGCAATTGTACTAACGCATCGTTCTGCAAGCCTTTACTTCAGTAAATACAGAATGTCTGTAGTGTGCATCGAGTTTGTCATGTATTACAAATGATATCTTGATTAATGAGTTCTTACATTTGGATCACGGATCCTGCTGAAGTCTGGGTAGAGGTAATATATCAGTCCGTCCCACGCTCCTGGGAGTGTCACTCCACGGAAGAAGAGGATCAAGAGCATCAGGTAGGGGAAAGTAGCTGTGAAGTACACTACCTGCAAACAAAAGCTAGGTTAGGATGTCATGTGCAAACTTAAACACTTTAAATGAAGTCTCTATTAAGTTAAACTGTTGTAAAGAATACTAAAGACTCTCAAAATGGAAAGGCTGAACTCATGATTGAGCAAAACAAATGGAGGACGGCCAAAATGCTAACACGTCTTACCGAGAATGTTAAAAGAGAAATAAAGTATAGCATTCAAATCTGTAGTCCATAGGAAAGCTAGATTTAATCTGTGTGATCAATTATGTTAAATATTTGTATAAAAATAAATATGAGCACTGCTTCCTGGGAATCTCTGGAGCATAGGTAAACAATCTTAATGAATTAAAATGACAACAGTATAAAGAGAGGCAATTACAAAATGCTAATTTGCACATCGAATGGCTATTGCTTCAAACATTTTGAGCATACATTTTGTTATTCAATTATAAAATAAAATGTGCATACACTAATTATTCAAGATCAATATCAATCACCAAAAAAAGGGAGATACTTATATGTATGCAGCTGAATATCAGGGACAGTACTGCACATGTATGCTAAAGGCGTACTCGCCTTTCCTGTGGTCTTGATTCCCTTAAAGATGCAAAAGTAAACCATAACCCAGGCAAGGAAGAGACACAAAGCCAGGTCCCAGTTTAGCTTTCCCAGGGACCCATCATTTGGCAGCCTTAACACACGGTGCCTGGGGGGAGGAGATCCGACACGTAAACACATACAACTACATCCTCTGCAAATGACATGCAGAATAATCGACGTACGGATGTGGAAGGCAAACAAACACAATTTGTTTCTTCTTCCAAAAGCTGTTTTCCATTGGATGTAAACACAACCCGCTACGAATGCTTCATGGAACACATACTTTTTGTGTCTACAACGGTGAGAATACATTTAAAAAGAGAGAACATCATCATAAATACAAAATCAGCCTTGGTCTATTATAGAGCTTCAGAACAGATTATAAAAATGTCAGTGGAAAAAGCACACATTTTTCTCATCTCGCAGCACAGAGTGATTTCCCAATGTCTACCCTCACAACAGATCATAAGTTTATTATCATGTGAGCAGCAGCCAATTGTTCTAAATATCTGAAAAGGAAAAAAAAGGGATGTTTGTTCATCCTCATGTTGAATAAGCACCCCGACAGAAAAGATTGCCTCTTGGTATTTCCTGTTTAAATAAGTTACAGTAAGTGTGTGAATGAGTGTGTTTCTCACATCCAGAACTCCTCCTCCGATGACTTTCCCAATAGGAAAGGCATGTCATCGATGGTGGCATTTCTAAAAACAACAACAGAGGCAGGTAAGTTGAAATCATTGCTATTCTAAGCAATGCTTGCAGTTTTAATTTTCTGAACACTTTCACTCACTTTCAACCATCTTCAAGGGGGGTTACCATCATTTTGTTATAATACACATTTGAAAGATGTTATTTCTTTCAGGCAGAGCCAAGCTGTACAGTCGTTATGCTAGGCTAAGCTAACTGCTGCTGGCTATGTGTTTCATATTTACCCTATTGAGTGGTTTTGAACTTCTCATCTAACTCATTTTTTGTTTTTTCTATTTGACAGCCCACTTCCAACGACTTTCACACACACAATAATTCATCAGTAATTATTGTGTTTACGTTTCACCCTCACACTGTCCAAAGGGAGCAATCATAAGTTGTTTATAGTCATTTTAATCACAGAAACATGTGTTAGGACCTCCAGCTCTGAACACATGAAAGCGAGGGTGTGTCAAACTGCTATATCTATGAAAGCCAAGAATAATCCCATGTTTTCCAATCATCCTTATCAATACCATCTAAATGATTTCAGCAAGTGTCTCAGAAACATTTTTGATAGTTCACTCATGTACAGCTTGACAATACAGCTTACGTCCATGATCCAAAGTAGTCTGGTGTGCTGATGTTGTGCAGGAACGACCAGTTAGAGCCAGCTTGGTGATCGTAACAATTCTCTAAGAAAGTAAAGAAAAAGAAATTAAGGCGAGACGGATGTTGCGTGCCTACAAATCATAAAAACGTGAAGGAGAATGCATGTTGTGCTTCGTCTGAAAGAAAGCAATAAGCACACAGACAATCAAATACAGACGTGTTTAAACAAGCCAGTGTAGATGTGTCACAAAGCGTGGCTCACCAGTGTTCCACCAGTTGTTACATGTGGACCAGGGCAAAGGGCTCTGGAAGGAGCTGTAGAGGTAGAAGATAGCCCAGGCCAACACCACGATGTAGTAGATGTTCAGATAGAGCACTATCACTCCGGATGCAATCCCCACCCCTGCAGGACACAGTATATAACATTAAATACATCTGCACAATTGCCACAATTTATGTATTGCCTATGGATATTTTTAAGCAATATTGGATGATTGTAATAAAGATATAGAGAAAACAAGCTTAAACGAAGCTTGCACTGTTATTGGTTGACCACTCTTTGACCTCCTTGTTTCCGTTAAGAAACATTGAAAGTATTACATGGAAAACATGCTTTTTATACCCTGGAACATGGGGCTTATCTTCCTCCAGGCGGTCACCCCACTCTCACTGGTGTACTGGCCCAAAGCAGTCTCCAGGAAAAACAAAGGAATGCCACAGAAGAAGAGGAACACAAAGTAAGGGATGAAGAAGACGCCTGCAAATATATAGATGAAGAAGAGTCATATTTGATGTAAGGATCCACAAATATTGGCATGCTGTGGATGAAAGGACCGATTCTTAATTAAATACATCTTTGCTGGATTTACACGATCTTCCATTCTACTTGGAAAATGACCCCTCTACAGAATCATGAACCAAAACCAAAGTAAGCAATTGTTTTCGGATTCATAAGTATCTGTCCCAAAGAGGGGAAATGTACATTGTTACAGCAAAAGTGAAATTAAGACGCATGCATAAAATATTAAAGATAAAAATACAATTAACAAAAACACACAATACAGAGACAACACAATGTAATAGTAACAGTATTTCAACTGATAATGAGTGTAGCTAGTATAAAGTAGTGTGATAAGTATAAATGGGATATTTGAAATGTGTTTTGATTTTGAGGACAACAATGGAAATGAAATTAAAGTGTGTTGGTTTTCATGTGGACACACAAACACATCATCAGCCCACATCTGTAAATCCACCTCAGCATCTGGCCCATACATCCAAACCAGGTTCCTCACCTCCTCCATTTTTGTAGCACAAATAGGGGAAACGCCAAACATTCCCGAGGCCAATGATTTCTCCCGCCATGGAGAGCAGGAACTCCGTCTTGTTGGCCCATTTCTCCCTGGGCTCACCCTCTTCCACAGGAGCGCCTTTTTCTGGCCCCGACACTGGAGCAGGGGCTCCTCTGGCTATTTTCTCAGTCATGGTCTCTCAGTCTATTGTATGCATAATAAACACAAGTGAAATGCAACCATGTCTGTGAGGTTCTCTCCAGCTCTTGTGCATGGTAACAAGATAAAAGGCACTTTATTCATAGTTTTATTAAATTGTCCTTCTTTGTTTGAGTCTATGCCAAAAACATGAAACTCCCAAACGACTTACTGCTAGACCTCTGCTACTTACTGCTACTCTGCTGCTTACTGCTAGACCTGCTACACCTCTCTATCGACCTCTAAGAAATAACTCACTGAACATCCGTGAAGTTTGCAAAAAACAACCATGACAACATAATTAAACATGTTTAGCTTCTTGGGAAATATTTAAATGTGTAACTCACCAGTGAGCTGCAGCGAGCGCTTCAATACAACCTGACCGAGAACATTAAGAAAAAGCTTTCTTCTGAAAAAGGGCGTGTCCTGGGCTGTACCCCCTCGTACACACACACACACACACACACACACACACACACACACACACACACACACACACACACACACACACACACACACACACACACACACACACACACACACACACACACACACACACACACACACACACACACACACACACACACACCACACCGACACCTGGAGTGTAACTCCAGTGGAGAAACAAACAAGCTACCTTACAGTAGACAAAGTTTAATTATTATTTAAAATTATGCATCAATAATTAAAACTAAAATATGTAATATTTTATTCTGAAATGGGCCGATGTGCACAATAAGAACTTATACTTACTTTAAGTATATTTTGATGCAATTTAAATTGCAGGACTTTTACTTGTAACAGAGTATTCCTACACTCTGGTAGGCTACTTCTACTTTTACTACAAGATCTGAGTACTTCGCCCACTTCTGCTGTAGACAGAAGTATTTGAATTTTATCAGACACCAAATTTATAGCATTGAAAATAATTACTTTGAAAATCATGTATCTGAATTTTGTTGCTCCATGTGAAATACAAATGTAACAATTCAAGTGAAAAAAATTCGAATGGACAATTTCGGTGTTTAAAATTCGACATCCAAAATTGCGATGCAGCATCATCCGGGCTACCCAGACAGGATAAGTAACATCTAATAAGCAATCGAGCCCGAATGCAATCAAACTATGGAAGCAAACTATTTTTTTAACTTGAATTTTTGGGATCTGAATTTGAACATTCAAATTTTTTTAACTTGAATTTTTACATTTTTATTTCACATCGGTAAATTCAGAGCAAAATAATTCAGATACATGATTTTCAAAGTAATTATTTTCAATGCTATAAATTTGGTGTCTGATAAAATTCAAATACTTCTGTCTCTTGTTTGCTTCCATAAGCGTGTGTCGAGTAATCCCCGAAGTTTTTTGTGATGCTTGTATCGAGGCTTGTATCGTTCTGGGCCAGTGACGTCGCCGATGACAAAGGAAGCCTCGCTGCCTGTCAATACCTCGTGACTGCTTCAGAAAGCGATTCAGATCGGTTGAACCACAACGCTCATATTACCCATGGATGTATAATAAGAACGATATTACCCCTCCTGTAGCCTACCTGGGCCCGGCGGTGACACGATGGAATTAAGAGAGCTCAGCCTCAGACCCTCACCTATATAGAGGTCGGAACATGTCATAAGTAGGCCTATAAATAAATAAAACTAGGAATAAAAACATAAATAAATAAATAAATACAGGAATAAGTAGGCCTAGTATCCAGTGTTTTTTAGTCAGGATCAGTGTGTGTGCTGTGGCTCAGCTGGAAAGCAGTTGACTCATAACCACAGGGTACCAGGCTCAACGACTGGTCAATACGCCTTTTTTTTTTTATAAAAGCTACAGCTAAATTAGATAATGTAGTTAATAAATGTATTCTTTATGGTTTAACCTTTCTCAGGCTACAACATGGTTAAGTTTACGGAATACAAATCCCTCTTTGCAATGTTTACCAGCCTCTTTAGGCTTTTCAATCACAATCATTAAACTGGAATAAATGCAATATTGTTAACATGAAAATATGATTTTATGTTCATTGGGAACTCGGTATGAGATAGAGCACACGGTTGAGATATGAAATCTGCCTGTTTTACACACTTTGACCAACAGGGGGGTTTGTGTTCAAATCGGTTCAAATGAAGCCTCATGAGATGAACCCTTTTGCGAACCAATTGAGAAGGGTCTAGCTGCGGCCGCGGCCAGTACACGATGGTACACGATGGTACACGACACGCCCACCTGACACGTTATTAATTTATTTGCCTAATAGTGGCTTAAAATGCCTAATAGTTGCTTAAAACGGATAGGTTATTAATTTAGTTGCTTAAAATGCTACAATAACATGCCATGTACGGTCTCCACCGTAGGCGGCGTAGTTGTCGTCAATTCGCTTTTCATCTGCCATGCCTCTCAGCCACCGTAGTGTCAGGTGGGCGTGTCGTGTACCATCGTGTACTGGCCGCGGCCGCAGCTAGACCATATTGAACCAATTGGCTGGAAAGCTTCATAAGGCTTTATCTCGCCATCACTACCTGACAGGCCAAACTCAGGGCTAGCCTGTACTAGTGTAAAGGGGGAGGAGTTACATCACATTGACGCACTGACGTTTTGTGTGTGACGAACCAGGAAATAAAAGTAAACAACGCATAAGAACGAAGACGAACATGTTATGTAGCGACAGTAACCCGTTCGCATTCGGAGTCTGTCATTTTTTGTGATTCATAATGCATGAAGGATCTATATCACAATAAGGAAAGGGGCAAGGTTAGAGACAGGCTGAAAACTGGTAAGATACCCATGAAGAGCTAAGAAAAGTCGGGTGCGGCAGTTGCTAATGATAGCTAGCTCGCTATGACAATGTACTGTATTTTTTTGAATTTATTTAAAGGATTAAATGCCCTCACGACCATGCATTAAACACATATGCTTGACCTAAGCTTTGTTACACGAATATACACCTTGCTGCCCCCATGTCTTCCTCTGTTGTGGTTGCTATTTGCCTGAGGTGTTCGCGTCTCTTCACTTATTCATTTCAGATTTAGCTATGTTAGCTATCAGGGCGGCGGAGGAGGAGTCCACTGACATGGAGGAGATGGACACCTCGGAACCGAACTGGTGCTGGTTCTACCTGGCTGAGTGTGGAGTGTGGCATATGTTCGAGGTAGTTCACAGGACATGACCTTACACTTTCTCACTCCCTATAATGTATTGCCCCTCCCTCAATGACACCTGGGTCTCCTATTGTCTGCAAATGACAGGCAAATATCTGTCAGTCAGTGGTAAATGATTAGAGGCTTTTCCTGCAAATCACATTGCATTTTTTATTTCTATTAAGCCATGATTTCTGCATGTCAGTTCAATATTACTCAAGCCGAAATTATTAGTCAATAGGCAATACGTCCATGATATAATATGTATAATTATTTTAAGTCAAATTGGCAAACATTTGATGATTTAAATGTGAGAATTCGCTGCTTTCCCTTTCCATTATTTGTGCTAAATTTAATATTAATTTAGTTTTAAGCTGTTGAATCAGAAATTAAACAAAATAGATGATGTCACCATGGGATCTTGGTTATTACCTAACAGTACACACTGCAGGTACATATTCATTACATAATATCAATGAATCTGCATATTGTGGTGGTTAGAAAAGCTTTCTTAACACTAATGTTACATCTTCAAATTAATTGTTTTGTCTGGCCAAAACCTGACTTTATTTAATTCACTATCACGTTAGCAGGAATTGCTCATAACAAAGAAGCTGTAAGTAATATATGTTTCCTTTTTTTTCTAGAGAAAATACTTTTTTTTATACAAACAGATTCCACAGAACTTTCTTTCAATGGACCAATCAATCAATCAATCAATATTTTATGTTTAATAAACTAATTTATTTATACATTTCTCAATTTCCCCTGTCAGATTGATCCCAGTGCGGCCTGCTCTGTGACCAGTGCTCAGATTGAGCAGTGCTACAGCCGAAACCAGCGAGGTGTGATGGAGTTCTACACAGCCAAGTACACCTACAGACTGGACTTCTCAGGTAAGTGATAAGTTACACAGCAAGTGAAGGAGAGGAGTCAAGAGTTCTGGTACCGCTCTTTGTCTCCTGATTAATCCTTTGTTAGAAGTAATGCATGCATGTTAGTTTCTGTGTCTCTTATCTTTGATGAACTCCTCACCAGCAATGCGACAGATCAATGTAACGACAGGGAAGCAGCGGCCAATCAAACGATCCCTCCACTCTGCAACTGGCTTCCGGTAAGGTTTAGCAGTTAAAGCCAAATGTTTTGTCTGCATTTCCCCCTTCATCTGTTAGGGCAGGCAGGAGGAGGTTTGCACTCAGACGACCACGCTTTATCTGAAAGGTCAGGGTTTAGTCTGTCAGCCTCAGGAATCCTGGATGTAAAACCTGAATTCCTACCAGCTCCACAGGGAGAGGGCCTGCAGCTGACCCCGAACTTTGGTCTCTCCAGAACCACGAGGAGGAAGGATTTATGCCTCAGGCGCAGACATATTTTAGATGGAGGTCTTTCATACTATGCAAACACACTTATACTGCTGAAACAATTGAATTACTGAGCCCTCTTCTCCCTCTACTGTCAGGTTTATCTGTGATAATCTGGCCTTGCCTGTACCGTGTCATTGGGAGAGAATCAATACAGATGAACCTTTTCAGGTGAGTGAAATAACACACTGTTACTCACTAAACATCTGTTACACACACACTGCGTTTCCACCCAGCATTTTACCCCAGATAAGTCTTCTTTCCTAAGAAAACAAATATTTGTGTTTTTTCTTTCTTTCCAGCCAAGCGTTCACAGCATAGCTCTCTAGTACTTTTACTCATTGTGTTGTGTTTTTCCAGCTCATCCAGCTCGGACGAGACACCTATGAATTTAAAGAAGTTGCCAGATTATATGAAAGGACTATGGATCATCCCATCAAATCCATCCAGAGGATTCAGAACTTGGACTTATGGGAATTCTTCTGCAGGTAGACAACTGTGTTATTGTGGTGGATGTCTCAAATGCTAGTTTATGTAAGCTGTGTCTTTTCTTGAGTTCCCAGCTCCTACTACAGACAAAGCTAAAGTAAATCAAGAGAATAAAACGACTTTGATTTTGATACGTCTGAAAGAGCACTGAGTTCCAAAGTGATGATCAGTACTCTGTGTTCTGTTGTCATTCATTGGTCCCCTAAGGAAGAAAACACAGTTGCGAAAAGTCAAGCGCACATTGGATATTGAGGAGCGAATGCTGTTTCACGGCACAGGGCACAGCAACATACAAGCTATATGTACATTTAACTTTGACTGGCGGCTGACAGGAAGCCATGGCGATGTCTATGGCAAAGGTACATCCTTCTGTGTTGTGATGTGACATTATGGAACTATTTATCACACTTCTTTGTATGATTTCAACTTTTTTTTTTACAATCTTTCTTCCTGTAGGGAGCTACTTTGCCCGGGACGCCAAATACTCCAGTAAGTTTTGTCACACCACAGGGAAGCACAACAACGTCCTGCAGCGACACGGACTCGCCCCCCCAATATTTGCTACGGAGCCCCCTTACAAGACCATGTTCCTGGCCAGAGTGCTGGTTGGAGAACACACAGTGGGTCACCCTATGTACTGCAGACCCCCCTCCAAGGATGCCAGCTTCACCAACTTCTTCGACAGTTGTGTGGACGATATGGCCAATCCAAAGATCTTTGTCCTTTTCGACAGCAATCAGATTTACCCGGAGTATCTGATCGAGTTCTACTGAAGCTTAAAAGGAAGACTTTTTTTTCTTTTTTTATAGAGGCTGGTTCTCGAACAAAGAAAAAATAAAGACTATCACATGACGGGATGAATATTGGAAAAAAGAAGCGGCTTAAGAGACATTTGTTCTTTCCTTCAGTCAGATCCGGTGCCTAACTGGAGCATAAAGTGCCTTTGGGGAAATCAGAAAGACAATAGAGACTTTGTGTGGAGTTTGTACAACACATTCTAAGAGTGTTTCTGCAACGTCGAAAGAAAAAAGAAGTCGGACAATGTGGCAATTTTTCCTCAAATGCAAAAATCTGTGCTCACTTGTCCAATCTCCGTGTCCAGTTGTTTAAAACAGGAGGGACAGTTGCAGCCTTTAGGTCACACGTGATGTTCTGCCATCAGCCACAGCCTCTCCTTCACATCCACAGTGCCACGCTTGAGCTTATTTATGTTCATGTAGACATCATTCCAAATGACCAAACCAAAAACCATTCCTGCTCACTCATTCATCCCGTCAGTCAGTAGCTCATCATCTGTGATGTTTTATGTAGGCATGGATTTCCTTTTTGTTCTTGTTAAAAAAAAAACGCTTCTACCTCTGCATTTTAGTTTTTAAATCATGCATCACTGCACTTTCCCCCCTTTCCATGAAAGGTTTTGTATTTGTGTCACAATGACATAAAGTTGTGATGTCGTGTTGACTCGTGGTCCTTTAGCAATATGTTTCTGTGTGTCCTTCTGAACATCTTTAAAACATTGGATTTTGTATGCCTTTGCAACCAATCCCAACCAAAACGTAATATCTAGCATCACATTTGACTTTAAACCAAGTGTGAGGTTAGCGCCTGCTCACACATTTCTGTGGGGAATAAGCAGGTTATCTTTGCACCTGGTGTATCTTTAAAAAGGAAGATGATGAATGTAGCCAGCACATGTATAGTACTGTAATGAAAACAAACACACAATGTATTATGGCTTTGCTTTGCTGTGTTTATCTGTTGAATTCATTGAATGATTGAGTGTGTGTGTTTGAGCGAGGACTACACAAGGATTCACAGTTTCACATATATTTGCCACAAGATGGCGTAACAGTGTAAAAACGGATCTTTGCATTTCCTCGTTGTAAATGTGGGAACCACCTGATGTCTTCAGTCATAACACAGCTGTGAGCGTAGGGGTTTGTAGTAAAGCTATATGCGTGTCTGTAATTTGCACATGTTACATCCAATAAAGTTTTCAAATATGTCTATGATTCTCTTTCTGCTGGTATAAATGTTAGCCTCCCATTTTAAAGTGAGGAGGCCCGCCTCCCTCAGAGGTGTGGCTTTGACTGACATGCCATTCATACAAACACCAACTTTAATAGCTAATCTGTGCAGCAGAAAGAGGAAGGACCGTATTTAATCATATTTATTTCGCTTATTTATCATATTTCTGTCAGGACAATGTGTAGCAATAAGGAAGTGGAATACATGGACACTTCAGACTTCCCATGGTGTTGGTATTATCTGGCAGACTGTGGAAGGTGGCACAGGTTTGAGGTAAATTGTTAACATTTCTTAAGATTATTATCCAAATGATCATATCATAGAAACAGTGATGTATCTGAAGCAGGATTTTTAGCTTTTGTTACCTTCTGCCAATCCTGCAGGACGACCCTGATAACCCCCTGAGGAGTGAGGAGATTGAAAAATATTACAAAAGAAACTCTAAAGCAGCGTTGAATACATCATCCGGTAACTGTGAGAGCAAGATGGACTTCTCAGGTAACTGACTACATGTTTGTGTTCACATTAAGTCCTCCTCATACAGAACTTGAATAACATAACTTGTGTGTTTTATACAGCAATGTTACAGACTGACCTCATCACAGGAAGGCAAAGACGAATCCAACGGGCCTTCAACCTTGAGAGAGGGTAAAGTGAGGTTTGAAACACATGAATGTAACAAAGGATTTCTGAGTTATAGCTAAGTATTGTTTCCTGGAAAGTGAAAGTGAAACTCAGCACTTTTATCCTACAGATGCGCCTGCTTCAGTGCTTCTCCTGTCTTCTGGGAAAAGGTGGACCCAACATGTCCATATCAGGTGACAATGACTGAAACCGAAATATACACTAATTCATGTATTTACAAGGTGGGAAAAGTACTCGTACAAGATCTTACCAGAGTGTAGGAATACTCTGTAACAAGTAAACATTCAACAATTTACTCAAGTAAAAGTACAAAAGTATTGCATCAAAATGTACTTACAGTGCCTAAAAGTACTCATTATGCAGATCAACACAATGTGTATATTATGTCATCGTTTGTTTGGATTATAATTATGATAAAGGTGCAGCTAGTTTGAATGACTTTGTATACTGCAGGGTAGCTTGTGAATTTACTCCAGGTGGAACTAAAGTCTGATTTAACACTTGGTTATATTAAGCCAAATCTGTAAAGTAACTAAATGTATCAAATAAATGTAATGGAGTAAAAGTACACCATTTACCTCTGAATTGTAGTGGAGTAGAAGTTCAAAATAGCCCAAAAAGTAGAGTACAATTCCCTTAAAATTGTACTTAAGTACAACACTTTAGTACATTTACTTAGTTATTTTACACCACTGTAAATATTTATGTTTCAACTGAAGCCTTTTTCAGATGCATTTCCTATGTATTTGACAGTTAATGCCTCTGAGTGAACTCAGCCCTGAGTATCTCACGGTGGCAGACTATGTGAAGACAGAGGGGTTGTTGGATGCAGACATCGTGTCAATCAGCAGGATCCAGAATCTGGACCTGTGGGAGATATTCTGTCGGTAAGGAAGTCTTTTAACTTTGTCTATCTCATTCACTTCATAATTCCACTTTCTTCTCATCAAAATGCTTCTTCCCTTTATTTGTGTCAAAGGAAAAAGAAGCAGATAATGCGAATCCAGGATGTCAAAGAGATCCAGGAGAAGAGACTCTTTCATGGTACAGAAATTACAAATGTTGACAGCATTTGCAAGTATAACTTTGATTTACGATTGACCGGAAAACATGCCAGCGTATATGGCAAAGGTAAGCTAATGCCTGTGCAACAATATATACATATATACACAGACAGAATGTAAATAACTGCAAAGTCTGATCTCAGTTCCTTTGTCTTTTTATTAAGGGATATATTTTGCAAAACATGCCAAATATGCAGACAGATACAGCATGGGCAGCAGGGATCCATTGCCTCTGTATGGCGGGGAAACACGAGGTGTTCAAGGTGAATACACTAAAGTGATATTTTTGGCTCGTGTGATAATCGGAAAATCAACGGTTGGACTGGCTATTTATCGGAAACCTGATGATGGAAGTTCTGAAAACACTCACTACAGCTGTGTGGATGATGTCAATCATCCCAAGATCTTTGTAATATTTGATCCAAATCAGATATATCCAGAGTATTTGATTCAGTATACCGGTAGATGAAGTGAACAGAGGGTCTTGAGCATGTGCAATATCAGCATGTCTAACTCTGTCTTGGTAGAAAACCTCTCATATTCTTTGAAGACTTTTTATTTTTTTACGACATCTTTTAAACTACATTTTTAAAGGAGCTGAACTCCGTGATATATATTATATTTTTACATAGGTTACCAATTTTGAAATGAAGTAGCGCTTCAAATGTAAATAGCGTAGTTATTTAAGGTACTATTTAAAAAATGCAGTTTTACAAGGTGACTTTTGTCACGTTTTACAATAATCTAACATTACGCTGATTTATCTGTGATATTCAAATAGATCATATTCTAAATAAATGTTTTCGTCGGAGCCAAACTAAAATCTCTGTGTTGATTCATTTTCCAACATTTTATTATGTGTAATATAACCGGGGAATAAAGGCCTTTAAGGACTGAGGCATGGATGCAGGGGTAATGCTACAATAAACACTAACAGTATCACACTGTAATAATGTGCAGTAGGTAGTGTAGAGTACTTGTTAGCAGCACAGCCAGTACTTCCAAACTACAACCATCCCTCTGACTGGGAACCAAAATAGAAACTGAACTCCAGCCAGAACGCTTGAGGCACTCTCTGCAGGTGAACATTTTCCACACGCCCCAACCACTGACGTCTGACAGGTGTTGTCTTTTCACAATTTAAGCAAATAACTCACTGTACTGACATCACTGGCTGGGCGGGTCTCCAACTGCTGCTGCCTAGCAACAATTTGAATAAATAATACAACTATGAGAAATGTCCAGTATCTTTGGCATTTCTCCCAACAAGAACACATTAACCCTATTATTGGGGAAAACACCAGCGGAAATACAAAATAAAGATTCCTACCTATTTCTTGTGATAAGAATAGCAATCATTAAACAAATTACAAGGAATTGGCTAAAAGATAATAACTTAATAAACTCACAATTAAATAACCTAAATGAAATCTATGGAATGCAGAAAACAACTATGAGAATTAGAAACCAAATGTATATCTTTGAGGAAAGATGGGAACAATGGGTAAAGTATAGAACACTATAACGAAGATTTAAAAGGAACATGAGGTAATAATTGACAATGAATGTATATTGAGTATTAATACTGTATCCATTCTTTTATTTGTATTATTAGTACTATTATTATTTCATTTCGGATTTGTCAACTGTTATGTAGTTAATGTATGTACCTAGATGTGTTTATTTTGTTATGTATGTTTTGTGAATAATTTATTTAAATGCGAATATTATTAATAAATAATATATTACTATACTGTAAACAGAAAATTAAATATGTGCTTTTTATTATTAATTTAGAAGCATGAAGGTTTGTTTTCTTCCACCAAATGTTACTGAGAGGGCTTTATTTATTTACTATAGTTCATTGTCAATAAAAAAAAAGACACATATTTGGTCAATTGTACTGTCAGCAGAGGGCGCCATATACATTTAAGATGCATGTTGAAGACTTGGCAGAGGTCAGCAGTGGCTTGGTTACATGTTTCTGCTCTACACTCCTTCAGGGGGGGGTCTGCTCCTCATCTGGATATATTCCCCCAGCATCGTCTTTATTAGTTACCCAAGGATCCCAGCAAGTTGTTATACGTAACTGTACACTTACTAAAGTACTACATCAGTACTGCCATACTTCTCTCCCTATTGTGTTATTTTTACTGGTTCACTTTAACCAGTTGGCCCAGGTGGAGCACATGTCGCCATCGTGTGTGATTTACTTGAATCTTTTTAAGGACAATTCATGTGTGTCGTGGCTTCCTTCCTTGTCTTTCTATCAAGCCACTAGACGCCTTAAACAGACAGTTCTAACTCGTTTTCTTTCCTTTGTTTTACTTACAGTTTGAAGAGTTGCTTGGCCTCCGATGGTTAGATGATGTTGCAATGTGTTTGCTCAAAATAAAATAACACACTTTTGCACATGCAACAAAGAAAAGAGGCCTTTACAATATCCAAAAGAAATAAGCAAAACTCAAATAAAATAATAAACTTAGGTATTCTTTCTTTCTTAATAATGCTTATATAACTTCATAACTTAAAGGGTACGATTGTACGATATGTATGTGTACGTGTACGGTTAAAAACTGTTCCTCGACCACGTCTCTCAAACAGGTTGCCCATCACTGTGGCTTTTAGCGCAGGCGCTGTGGGAATTGTAGTCCTTTATAGTGTGTTGACTACAGACGTCACAATTAGGTGGTCTTTCTTATCAATCAAAATACTGGCTCTAACAATGTGTGGTGATTTGGGAAGTACTACTGTGTTCATGCAGGAAAATCAGAGGTTGGAGGAGTAGGCAGATCTTGTAATTGAGTGGAAATAGAAGAGTGTAGGAATACTCTGTTACAAGTAAAAGTCCTGCATTCAAAATGTTACTCAAGTAAAAGTACAAAAGTATTAGCATCAAAATATAGTTAAAGTACCAAAAGTAAAAGTAGACATTGTGCAGATTGGCCCATTTCAGAATATGATGTGTTTTATAATTATTGATGCATTAAAGTGTTATCAAAGCTGGTATTAAATACATGTAGTGGAGTAAAAGTACACTATTTACCTCTGAATGGTAATGGAGTAGCAACATAGTACATAGTAGCAAAAAATGTACCTCAAAACTTAACTAAAGTACAGTACTTGAGCAAATGTACTTAGCTACTTTACACCACAGTAAGCTGCATTTAGACGGGTAACTTGATGTATTGTTTTCAATTGTGGTTAATGAAAGGTATATTTGTCACCACTTCCAGCAATGTGTTTAATGTTATTATTTTCAGAAATGTTACATCAATTTTTTGAGGAATTCCCTGAATTCATTTCATGTTTCTCAGTTTATTTCCCCCTGCACTTTGTTTATTCTGTGAGGTTCTTATACTCCTGTGTACTTAATTGGATAAACTATGTGAATTACATTAGGGTCCAGTGAAATCCATTTAAACCCATAAGATGATGTAATTATGACATTATATAATACACAATCCCAAGTGACATACATTCGCACACTAATTATTTTTAATATTTCATCATGTTTGGTGAATAAAATATTCACAATGCAATTGAATGTGTCAAAACCAGAATAAAAGATCATCTCACATGCTACTCTTTTTTTATTGACTTTTTGTATTTGAGATGCCAAGACCGGGGTGAGACAAGCTTCAAAAAAAGGTTCTTTCTATGAATATCATTCTTTATACAGTGTTTGTATAATTGCATAACGAGATGTCCTGACAGATTTATGCTAACTTCCAGTTTGAGATGTTTGAAACTGGGTCTGGGAGTTCTTCAAGTCAAGTTTGATGTGTTAAATATTTACAGCCTGGTGTGCTCAAAGCAAAGCCTGCCGTGAGACTACGCCTCTTTGATGTCTGCTCTATCAGATGATACCAACATGTGGAGTGTGTGAGAAGTCTAATTACTGGCAGAGCTGTGTGTGTGTGTGTGGGAAATGGCTTTCTTTTAAATTATTCAACATTGAACAAACAAACAAAAGCTATTAAATGATAACTAGTTCAGGAATCTATCACAGCTTCAGTCACATTATTTTATTATTGAAATTCAGTTCCTGACGGACGCCAAAAAAGCCCGAGATTATGGAATTAAACCAATAAATAAAAGCAAGGATAATTGTGTGTTATTGGTGAGTAAATAACAGTGTGTTATTTTGAAAAGAATAACAAATTAGAAGGAAAAAAAGATTTTAAAAATACAGATTTCAGTATCCTGAGGCTCTGAGCCCCATTTATTTTCCTCACAGACGGCAACACTAAAGGTCTAAAATAAAGACCTAAATGAATATTTGGGATGTTCTTGCCTTTAGATTCTCCCAATAAGTCCAAGTACAGAGGGTGACTTTGCTGTGAAAAAACGTTAGCAACCATGAATGTGTACACATTCATGAAGTAATCTTCGTCATAACCAGCAAACTAAACATCATGTACATGTACTGCACAAATAATCAGAAATAAAAACTCATATTACTCGCATAAAATGACATCAAAACGCATTTTAATGGCCAAATGAACCTTAAAATAGGCATTTTCCACCGAGAATAACACGAAGGTCGGCCATTGTTGTTGATCACGTGGTCTATGAAGGTCTATGGGACGCCCTGCCCGTAGAAGCCTGACGGTCAAGGGGTCGGTCTATGGGACGCCCTGCCCGTAGAAGCCTGACTTCCAAGGGGTACCCCTACCCTGTACGTAATAGAGTGACGGGGAGGGGCCCTGACCGTCCGTCAATATGTGACGGGATGGGAGTGAGAACGTGTTGCACACGCACGCACACACACACACGCACACAAGCGTTGCAGTCGGGAAGAAAAGCAATGTGGAGCGGCACCTCACCACTTCATAAGGAGTTTAATAGTGACACTTTTCGAAATCCCGTTTTACAAATAGGCCTATGTTTATTAGGCTATTATTTTTTAACGCAAGCCGTCATCGCCACGGAGGAGCGCACATTCTCTGTGAGCGAGCGAGACAGAGAGCGAGAGAGCTAGAGAGAGCACACCTTTATCTATTTAATATAGATGTAAAAAATAAAGTAAGAAATCATTTCAATGTGTACTATAGGACAGTAAAAAAAAAAAAAGTTTAAAAGGGGAGTGATTAGTAAAATATGCATAAATAAAAAGAAAGAATGCTAATAGGTAACATAAGATAAGAATAAACAAGTTTATTTGTGTTTGTTTTGGATTAGGTAAACCGGGTAAACTCAAACATATCCAGGTTATGTTGAACCGGCTTCGTAGTACAGGCCTCTGGAAGTGCATTGAGCTAAATGAAAAGTTTAAAACTTTTTTTTTCTTTCTTCTTCTCCATGTCCCCTATAGGGCTTCGTAGTAAACTGCTGTCTGGAACAGAGCCCACTGAAATATTTTCATGGTATTTTGGCCTCATGGGAAATCTACGCTTTGATTTGGTCACTCCCCAGTGTCTGCTGGAGGGGTACGCCTGCATGCCATGACAGGATTAAAGGACAGATACACACTCAGTGCAGACTCTGTATTCACATGAATAAACATGTGGGTTTGTGGACTGAATTGACATTGTTGAGAGGCAAAGGCTTCCCTGAGGACATCACACTGCTGACGGCAAAAGTCATGTTTTTATTACAGAAAACTCTTCTTTACAAAACACAACACATTTCCAGCTACACATGTTCTATAATTCAACCAAATATCACAATCATCAAAACACACTGTACATCATTTTAAGAAGCTCTCTCTGTGTCACAGAGGCATTCTGGGACAGGAACCACAACCTGATGTCCCTGAGCAGAGAGGAAAATAACACGTTTTATTGTAAATGTCATGTAGCCTATCTACATGGGGACATACGAGAGGGTGGGCTACTGTGACAGCCACGGCACAGTGTTGGCTTTTTCACATAAAATAACATGTATTAATAAATTAAGTCTGATCATTTGATCACAGGAAATGAAACATCGACACGAGGAACACGACACGTTTCAGTTCTTGCTTGGCACGAGAGGCGTAGAGACTCAGTTCAAGCTTTGGCACCTCTGAGGAGTTTCCTCATGACCTGTTTACATGTTTACAGTCACAAGCATCTACAATGCACCAGGTGCAAACAATCTTCAGTGACTCGGACAACACAATGGGAATTGGCTATGCTTCATGTTTTAACCTGGTGTTTTATTGGTTTAAGCGAGTGACTACACAGCACTGTATCAGAGGGAGGTACCTGAACAAGCCTTAGCGTTAGCATGCGTTTATTGTTATGCATTTACTGTTTGAATAGTATATGTTTATGGCAAGAGCACCCTGAGGGTATCAATCAGGGTTTGATTATTTTCAAGATTTATCAACAGATTTAGCATTGCACTCTAAAGTTGTGAAACTCACGATGCACAGTTTCAAATCGATTTCCAACCCGGTGCCTACATCAACCTCCATGCAACACGTCAGAGATTCAGGCGTGTTAGAGTATTAGCAGCTAGCATTGGGCTGAGATGAGGAGTGGGCTACAGATCAGTTTCCAACTCCTTTTTTTTGCCTTTTTGAAACTTGTACAGAAAGTGACATCACTTTCAATTTGTTAGACATCTCCCTCTGAAGCTGCAGGCTTTTACATATTATTTTCATTTATGCGAAAGTATTCACAATTACCTGTAATAAGACTTGATGCTTGAAATTGTTGGATTTCACTTTTAACACAACCAGCTGGCATCACTCACTCATCAGTGCTGACCACTTCCAAACCCATTCCACGGAAATTATTCAAATAGTTTGCTCCATCCTCCTTCAAATTAAGTGCTTTAAAACAAAAGCAAGATTTTCTTTTATCATATTAAAGTAATATTCAGCTGCTTTTTGAGACGCTCCTTCTCAAAACTTTTTCTTTTGGACTTTGCAGTTATTTGCCGACTTAACATCACTAAGTAATATCAGTGGTTTGATCCACCAATCAGGACTGCTGTTGACCATTCAGCGCTTCACACTTGAATCTCAAACATGCCAAGCCTTAAGCTGTCTTCCACAACCATCACAGGTCAGATCTCATAAAAGATTAGTTTCTCCCGTCTTGTAGAGTTTAGCCTCCAACTCTTTCATATATTGTCCTGTAAATGCCTGGAGGACACACTGTCATCACAGAGAGAACAGAGCAGCTCTCAGTTAGAAGGTCTCTCCCCTGCTCCCCGGGCCCCCACCCTGACCCGGAGCCCCTGCCGCTCCATGATGTTCCACAGCTTGCGCAGGTTGGTCTGGGTGATGACATCATCAGGTTTCAGCTGGAGAGCACGCAGGTAGTTGGCCTCCGCTTCCGGAAGCTTCCCGTTCAGGTGGAGGATGGCCCCGAGGTTCATCAGAGCAGCCGGGGTACTAAGAGAGGGAAAAGACACCATGAGAACAGGGGCAGAGTGCTGCATGATTACATTACAGTCAGTTGTGAGGACGTTCAGGGTTATTGTACAGGAATACCGCAACTGTGTCCACCTTTGAATCATCTGTCCGGGCAAACTATTTCAAACTTGCCCTTCTCAGCTCCACATTGGACACAGACAGTTATGTAAGTCATAAACATGTTTTAGGAAGCTTGCCAGTTTTTATTTAAATGGAGAGTGGATTAAGGAAAGGTCTCTGGTGAAATTAGTTTAAGGCTTAGAAAATCTAATATGCATTAAATTACACCTAAGGCATGACCAAAGACAAAAGGACATCCTTTGATAGTGCCACAGGGGACAAACGGGTACAGATTGTCTATGGCTGGGAGTAGTTTTTGTGATACATGTGTCTTTCTGGAGTCCTTTAAAAAAAGAAAAAAAAATACCACATCAACTAGTTGCCAAATTAGACCATTTGACCATCAATAGTGTACCAGTTCACCAAAAAAACCCAGGTCACAGACATGACTCTACACAGACCCCTTCATAAAGCAGTGGGCAGCTCATCAGCGTCCTCGGTGCCTGACATATTCTTAGCAACTGCTTCACAGATGTTCTCTTCCCAAACACAACTGTGAGTCTCTTCTCAACATTGATTGTTCCCTTATTTACATTCCACTACTCAAAAGTGCCTGTTTTTCTCACCTCATGTAACAAATGAATGCTTGAGGAGCTGGAATATTTCAAGAACACGCTGGAGAGTTCCGTAATGAATGCAGAGAGGAGCTGCAGTGCAGTACCAACGCTCTCTTTTCATCCAGTCGGGTTGTTTTTTTCACCTAGTGCAACAAAGTGCTCCAAATCCCTTGCTCTGCTTTTTGTACCAGTGAGAGAGCAGCCGAAACATATTGTACTAAGCTAGATAAATGAGCGTCCCTTTGCCATTCTAAACAATGAGCTGATATGCAATACACAAACCGGGCTCCATCATCAGAAACAGAGCCTTGCCTCTGCTCTGTGTACGGGAAGGCAGACAGAGTCATTGAGTAAGGCCATTTTTTACTTTCTTTTGACTGAAACGACTATATACAACATTGGGTTGCATTAATACACAGTGATCTAAGTTATTACACATGTTGGATATACAGTATTTTTTAAGGTAGCATCTGCCTGTGGTAGCTCTAGAGATGCACCCTGCACTACTGTAAACCTTTATCATATTGTCCTAAAAGTTATATAATCCTTAAAGATCC